TTTTTAAATTTTTTTTATTAAAAATTAAAAAAAAAAAAAATACAAAATTTTTTATATAGAATCTACCACTATAACCATTCGAGCTCTTTTCAAATGCAAAATTATTCTGTTTTGATATGCATCAATTAATTCACCTAGTTAAAATATTAAAGTTTTTAAAAATTTTATCAAAAATATTAACATAAATATATTAACAACTCACCAATTACAAACAAATATATGAAAAGTTTATAATGAATATTTTCAGAAGTATCCAGATTTATGACTTGATTAAGAAGAGAAGAACAGAAAAGGCAATAGCTAGCTTCATCATCTTGACGATCACAATTAATAACATCCTTTCTATACAAAACACTATCAGTTTGTTCATATCTATCTAATATTTGATTATATGTCACTATATAATATCCTAAAGTAAGCAATTGTGCACCAGAAAATAATGTATTTCATACTGATTTTCATGTATATAATAGATCAGAAACTCAGATTACTGGACCTACTCCAGAAAAAACCAGACAGGTGAAGTTTATATTATAAATTAGATCATTAAAACTCGTTGTTAATTCAGTATTTTTGGTTATTAAATGCTTTTGAGCATTAAATTCTGAAATAGCACTATCTGATCCAACTAAAACAATGTAAATTGAAAGTTATCTAGCTATTTCTAGCACTTTTTTGTGTATTTGCAATATTTGTGTTGATGTTTAATTACCATTATTTGGAATCACCCTAATTATAACTAGTGGAAACTCCAGTAAAAGTATCTTAAATTTTGAAAAAAAAAAATAGAATATAAATAATAGCAAAAAATATATATAAATAATAGTGACAAAAAAATTAACTAAATAAAAAAGTCAAACTTTAGATTTTAGTACTATATTGTTGCAAAATAATGCACAGGAATAAAATTACAAATTTTGGCCTAAATTAAACTTAATTTAGACCATTATTCTAAAAATGGAGGTTGTCTAAAGCGGTACAGAATCACGTGATGTGGGTGATGATTGGCCAAAATCGAAAAGCGATGATTGGCCAGAAAAAAGGATATCTGAATTTATTTTTTGGAAAATTTTTTTAACTTTGAATGAAGATATCTCTGCAACCACCTAGTAGAATTCGATAAAAAATTTTTTGTTTTAATTCTACGATTCATAGAATCAAAATAAAAAAAAATTCAT